TATATAAATATATAAATATATAAATATATAAATATATATTTCTCTTTTTTTTTTTTAATATTTATTCTAATTAAAATTTTCGTCTTTTCAAAAATCTAATATTATTCTCTAAATATTCTTTATTTCGATCTTAAATCTCGCTTAGAATATTCGAAAATAAAAAAATCAATTATTATTTATCATCAATCTTAATCCTAGAATCTTGTTTTATATCCATAATAGAAAGAAATCAATATTCAATTATTCAAATTAGAAATAGAATATATATATATACAGATAAGTTTCTTTAAATTAATTCCTAAATATGAAATTAATTAAGATTGAGATCCAAATTAACATTCAAATTCCATTATTTCAAATCAAATTAATCCGAATCTAAAATTACGTCTTGAAATCCTTAATAATATCATAATTTTTCAATCTAAATGCAAATTCGAATTCAATACTATTTCTAATATCATATATTTTAAAAGAAGAATTGGAATAATAATCATATAAATATTAAAGTAGATTCGTCATTTCCAACAATGGATGATTAGTGATCGACGCAAATAGAAGTTCCGCGCCCCCCAACCGGAACCCCGAATCTCGAACCCCAAACCCGACCCCGGAACCTGGTCAATTTTGCTCATGCTGGATAAATTGCTGGGATGAATGGTACGACCTTGCAGTTTTGGGCAGGGACCTTCAGATTTGGGTGGTGCGCACGACAAAGATTGTGGGCTCAACGGTAAATTTAAGCCTTCTTTCCAGTCGCAGGCTGGTTGAGAAACGGCATGGTGCTAGCGCACCTTCGGTCTCTGCTCATCTGTCCATCTTGACCCATCTTGACGGCCTGAACGGGCTCAAAGGCATTGCTCGGTGGTTGAAGTTGACAGTCTATACCTGTACCTGGGCAGCACCGCCTACCGATGCAAAAATACAGCAACTTGTGGACTCTGGCTGAGGGTCACTGCGGCTTCCATCTCTCTGCAACGCTTCTTTTCAAGGCCGCTCGCCCAGTCCACGCTAAAGCACTAGCCATAACGAAATTTAAACAGAAACAACATCTGAAAGCGGGTCGAACATTGGAGCTGAAGTTGAACATTCTGTCTAGCCAAAACGAAAACGATCCCATCTGGGGTTCCAAAACAGATGTCCCAATCTTGTACACTTGCAGATAGATGGGCGGAGCTGCTTCGAGCCGATTGGGACACCCAGCCCCCGAAATCCAGTGCCTGCGAGCGCGTCGTTTTTGAACAGGAGCCCACATATTCAAGCAGCTGAATTCAGCACAATCTATGCACCCGTAGTGCCATGAGCTACTACAAGTGGCACCGACTTGGACCCATGATCCCAATTACAGTTTCTTTTCAAGTGGGTCATGTAAAAGCATGTGACTTTGTGGGCTTTCTGTGGGGCATGGAGCTGGAAGCAGGCACTCATCAAGGAGGCAGTCAGCTCACTCCTGCCAGCGCGGCTCTGGCTTTTCGGCCGGCTTGGGAGGCCACTGTTCCTCTTCAGAGCAGAACTGTAGGTCTCGCTTCGACACCTGCGATCGCCTGGCCTGTTTTTCGGACCACGCCCTCATGCAGCACGTCCCTCGAACTCGTTCATGCCGAGGAACCTAAGGTCCGCAGAGCCCTGGCCGGAAGTGAGGGCCGGGCTCCAGGGCTTGGCTTTTCGGCGCCGGCTTTTGAGGGGAATCAAAGGCAGCAAAAGAATCCAAGGAAGCAAGGGGCTCGTATTTGAGTGTTGGCCTTTCTGTTGCAAGCTCTGCATACAAATTCATGGCCCGTCGGGGGTGGAAGCATGCACTTGAGATCTCTTATCGCCTTTCTGACTTCGTGGTTTCATGCAAGTGTAAGGCGCAGACTCGTCCATCGCAGACTTGATGCTGCCTTCAATCTCTGGGGTGATCTGCTTCTTCTCCATAATCTCCTTTGCAGTCGTACGAAAGCCGAAAGCCTGCTAGCATTTCTGTGAAAAAATGGGGGGTTCAAGCACACATCCGTTTACTTCGGACAAAGTGCGACGACCTAGCAACCCCTTTCGTCCCTCAGGCCTTGAGGACATCGCCCTTCGTGTCCTTGAAATGCTTCAGCCACAAATTTTCAAATCGGAGGATCTCCTTCGTCGCGACCTGTTCTGTTGCAGACCCAAATTTGAAGGCACGGCCAGTTGGTGTGGAGGCATTCATGATGTGAGATTCACAAAGCTGCGCGCAGCACTTGTGTTCTGGACCTTTACAAGCATTGGCTGTAACTGCAAGTCTCAAGTTTCCCTGTGTTGTATTTACCTGTCTTTTGCTACAATGCCATAACCACGACACTGCAACCGCAGAATCAAGACAATAACGAAGACATATGCAACATTGGAGGCTCATCCATGCATGCAGGAATGTCACTGTTCTCAGGAAAACTGACAGGGCCTTGTCCAGGTAGCCGCGGGTACCCGCCCACAGGGACACGATAATCTCTGCAGTGGTCATAGGCACGAACCTGAGGTAAAGGGGACCAGCCTGTGAAGAATTTTCTCCTCTGGCGGCTCTGCACACTCATCCTACACCCTGAAACCAGCATGTGTGCCCCGCTTTAAGGTGTACATGTTTTGCTGGCTCTTGGTCCAGATCGTCTACGACAGTTCATTTAGCAATCCAGCTGTTTCACGTATGGCGCCATGGCGTCTGATTTGTTTTCCGAGTTGTCGGCTGTTTCTGCTTCAGCAGCTCCGTGAGAATACCACCTGTCAGCCAGCCAGGCTTCTATGAAGGGGAAACGGAATCAAGGGAACAGCGGTAATGGAGATACGAAGTGGACCATCTGTATATTTTGCCAGGGTTTCTGTCAATGCACTCTGCAGATTTGTAAGGAAGTGCTACGTCGAGCACTGTAGAGTCTTGCAGCTTGCCCGCACAACACGGACAAACGGGACAGTAATAAATGCTGGGACAAATACAGCGAGGCCACATGTCTGGTTGGCCGCGTAACCCATGTATTGAAGTGAAAAGGGAATGCCATTTTCAAGTTGGACTTCGCCGGCGCTGGAAGACTGTAAGGAGTGCCGAGAAGAAGTGCAAGACACTGGAGAGTGTTCCTACGGTAGGAAGTACAGTACTGACTCCACATTCAGCTGTTGAAGGGAGGCCTCGCAGCAGCTGGTGCTGGGTAGCCGCATCCAAGTCGGAGCCGAACTGCGCGAAGGCTGCGACCTGCAGGGTGGAAACACAGAACCGTCATACAAGAAAAAACCTGCTCTGGTACCCAAGGCTAAGGAATTGTACCAGTAGCAATGAGGTTGGGGCAACGATGGCGCATCAGTCAGACTCGGAGTGAGTCCAGAGGCGCCGAAACCTAAGGCCCGAAGCCACCCCCAGACCCTCGACACAACCTCGCGGTACTGCGCAAGCTCGAGCTTCAAGGTACCAGCCACCTGGTCGCTGCACCGCAGTGCCGCAATGAGGCGATTGATTCTTCTGTGGGACAGGACTCCACTATTTCCAAAACCCTAGCTAGACTACCACAACACAGCCGAGCTGGTTGTCTGCAATGCAGGACTGGGAACTGGGCCTGCTTCATAGCCTTGATCTGGGCGGCGCTCCCGACGCCTGAGCTGAGCCAAGCGGCGGTCCAAGGCAGCAAAGCACAAAGCAAGAGCTGCAAGCTGCAAGGAGTGTCGATAATCGCTTTCCCCTACCAATGCTCCTGAGCCGATAGTCCAGTGACAGACGCGGCTCCGACTAATCTGTTCACATCTAACCACATGCATCCGTGCTGCGACTCACGGACAGGCCGACATTGACCGCCGGGCGGATACCCTGTTGGTCAGAAGGTGTCTTGGAGTCAGCTTCCGTTTCCGTATCCAATGATGCATGTGTGAAATCCAACCCCCTCACCTCCGTCGCTGGATCAAATCCATTCGCTGATTAACTTTAGATTTTGAATCTTCGATGGTACCATTCACCCATTCTCATCGCACTCTGTTTTCGACTCTCACTCTCGCACAAGGTAGGCCGCACTCTGTTCAGATCCTGGCGGTAAGCCGGTAAAAACAATAGCCTACTGCGGAGCTGGGTAAACATGCAAGACATTCAGGTACCTGTGTGCATTACTTATATGTTCCTTTGAAGCCTTCTACTATGTTTCACGTTGCGGAGGAATCACAACAACGGTTGGAACTTCCTGCTGAAAACTTGCTAGGTTCTGCTGTGGACCACAGCAAGGGAGAGCCCTTTTTAAGCTCGCATACTCATGTTCTTTTCACTTCATTCGTAATGAAACAGAATAAATACGCATGCCTGCATTTGATGTGTCTGCTCGGAAGTGCAGGTAAGTCTTGTCAAAATACATTTCAGGTCGAGTCATGGCCCGATAACACACACTGTTATGCATTCATCCGCAGCCTCCAACCTTGTCGGTCAAGCCACAAGATCTACGTTCGGCAACCACGGTTCCGGCGCCAAACTGGTCTCAAGGCTCAGTCTTCTTCTCTGGTTGGTTTCATCTTTTCGTCCATTGTGAACCAAGAACGATTTGCGGGTAGTTTGGGTGGCCTCCGCAGGTACGCAGACTGGCGTCCCAGTCTGTATCAGCACATCATGAAGAGCCTCTTTTTTTGGATGCCCACTCCTTCAAATGCAGAGCGTCCCCCTGCTGTTTTAATGCGAAGCAACGGAAAGTTACCCTTGGTGACAGGGAAGCGAGGGCAGAATTACTAGGGGTGGATCAGCTTCAGTACTGGTACATCGGCTAGTGCGGGCTGTCTGGGCAGGTAGGGTTCAGCCTTTCATTATGACATTGGCACGGCTAGACTTTCCAGAAGATCGTGCCTTGTAGAAAAGCTCCGTTTCGAGGAAAATCTGACCGTCTGTAATGGAGATGACCTCAGCTTATGCATTCCGCTGAAAATCCACGGGTTGGCTTCTCGTGAAGTGGGAACTTTAAATTTGCTACTGCGATCCTGTCTCCCTGTCAGTTGAAGCATCGCCGAAGTCTTTGACTCATCGACGTGAGCAACAGCCTCGTCTTCTCGACAAGCTGCATTCGTCGGGATGTAGGCACTCACGTCACCGGCTTGTGTCTCAATGACGGGTAGGGCCGTCAGAGAGCCGCCGCCGTGTGTAGTCTGCCAAGGCAGCAGAATTAGCGGCACTCGGCAGAAGAAGCACAACCATCGCGAACTCCAAACCTCGTTCATCTTGGCGGCGCGCTCAAGCAATCGGCTGTGCAGGTAGAAGACATCACCTGCATCTTCCATGCGATGACATGTTTCGGACGATTCGACTCACAGGCATGAGGCACCTGGGTATGCCTCGCGACCAGGCGGGCGTCGCAAGAGCAGGGACATTTGACCTCGATCCACTCGGAGAGTCGATCGACTCCTGCTGAGTCTTACGGATGCTTTGTGCCTCTGCAGCAAGCTTGCCATGTGTCTAGAACCCAGCTGAAAGCAGGAGGCTCTGAGAAGATACTCCGTTTCATTGGCTTGTTTGCTCAAGTTCGTACAGAGCCAAGCTGCGATATGCGACGGCCTGTTTGGAGAGATCGTCGTAGAAGATGACCTGTGCGCAAGCAATCTTCTTCTATAACCGCTAAAGCTGATCTTGCGAATCCGAGGACCCCTCGCACACTGAAACGAGATTTGTAGCCTCTACCATGCTCTCGATCTGGGCACCCAGCCGCATGCTTTCCGTTGTCACGGAAGTACTCTGCCATGGCGCAACCCGTGTAGGGTGCGAGGAACTGCAAAGGTGCGGCCTGGGATCTCATGGCAGAGGTACCAGAAGGCACGTTCACTCAAGTGAGTGATATGAGTTCTGCAGTGTGGGACCGAGTACACTCTTGCCGGCTCGGCTTCTGCGACATTGAACTCCCCAATGCTTTCGGATGCGTTGCACAGGCAGCACATGCTCTGTGCGGCGGACATCAGAAGCAGTTGCAGCCACGACCGTGGTGTACTTCAAGCAATCCTGCCAATGCCAAAGCTTTTTGGGGTTGTTGTCGCGGAGTTTGGGACCATAGGCGAAGCTAGAACCTTACTTGTGTTGTTGACCTCTGCTGCGAGAAAAGTTTGAGCGATGCGGGCATCCCTTGTCTTTCCACGCACCGCCACATGCTCTCAGTCAGTCAAGCGGCGTTCTTTCTAAGGATCTCGAAGAGCTGAGCTACGGTGGATCGCTTCTGTCCTGCGAGAACCAAGACTGCAGGTGCCTACAATCATGTGCATGGAAGCAACAAGAACCGAGCGACATGAACAAGCGACTGGAATCGCGGCGTGCTTCACTCAACGAAGATAGTGTGATGAATCTGAAGCAACATGTAACAACGTAAAGAAAGCACAGCTATCTTCGTTTACAGCACACACCACATTTCGTTCGTACATTTTGTTGTTTAACTCGTCAGAGCCATGCATTCTTTATGCTGATTAAACTTACGTTGAAGAAGAGGAAAGCACATGAATGGAACCGTGCATAATTTCACTTCGCTCATGCATTCGTTCATTCATTCCATTCCTTACCATCACCCTTCCCAAAGGGAAAGAGATGCAAACATTGAAGAGAGTCGCGTACGGCTTTCGCTCTGATATTTGTAGATCTTGCACGAAACAAGAGAGCGACATGACGCAAAATCCGAATGCAATGTGAGGAAGAAAGCCCAGTTCGTTGTCAACTAATTAACCGTGCTCTTCACGTTTAAGTTGTATAAAACCAGATTACGGCCTGTCCTTACCCAAGATCTACTAGCAGGTCTTCTAAAAGGTATCATATGCAGAAAGTTATTTGGGTCCTTACATTTATTGGAAGCATAACGCAAGAATGAGGGGTGGTTTTAATGAACGACGATGGACCAATTATGCAACTGTAACGAAGCTGGCTTTAAGAATCGCTCTCGACATGTTACATTGGACTCGACCAATTACGAACGCATGCCAGGAATCGCAGATGTGTTTCAAAAACATGTGTGTGCGTTCCGCTTATTTAGCCAAGTTGAACACAGGCACAATCAGGACGCAACTTCCTAGTTTTGTCTTGCTTGTTGAGGTATCTATACAAAACACATGTCGCGCTTACCCCTCCTTCCGTTTACCCCACTTGGGGCCGCCCCATGACCAGCATATGCTGGTCATATGCTGGCCCACATGGTTTCCGGAGTTTAGTGGTCATGGCAGGTTCTAAGTGAAATCCACGACTTTATCAACCACAAATACTTCCAGAAATAGGCATCCGGACTTTAGTGGTCACGGACGGCAGATCAATGATGTACTAAATTGCAGACCCCTACAAAAGACTTTAGTCGTCACTGGGATGACCTATGAAACCGGACAGTTTAGAATTTAGCCGACCAGCAAGGGGACCAGAAAGCGGTAACCGACCGTAGGGGTAACCACAAAATTTGTGTTAGTAACAGCAAGGAAGACTGCTGCTCAGACCAAAAAGGAAGTCTCCAGCTGTGAGGACATGATGAATAAAATGATCGTGTGCAACAGACCCCAACCTCACTGTACTGGATGGTGTGTTCCTTTAAAACCCAAAATGAGACGACGAAGGTACGTGAAATTTTGATTTTCAAATGAAATATTACATAAACAACAGCACCACCAGGATTCGTGCAAGAGGATCCGGGAACGAAACGACGCAAAGTTGAATCACAATGGCAGCGATGAAATGCACAGCAGCGTCCTACCGCCACGTAGATGCAGTACAGGTGGGCCGTCTTGTCAGCCGAAGCGTTGATGGCCTAAACCCAGCTGAGTACATCCATCTAGCTGCGGGCTTTGGCTGTGATGCATTGTGGGCCTTCTGGTTGAGGATTGTGTCGATGGCAATAGCGGTCTTGCCAGTCTGTCGATCACCGATGATCAGCTCTCGCTGGCCACGGCCGATTGGGATCAGGCTGTCGACAGCCTTCAGGCCGGTGGTCCTGCCCAGGGCTGCTTAGTTTCCCACTCTTCTACGTGCGGACCGGGCTGCTCGTTCTTGAGATGCATGCAATGCAAGATTTTGCACCCCGTCTGTCATGGGCTCGTGCACGCTTTGCCGGGGAATGATGCCCGGAGCCTGCGCACCGGCACGCTACCATCGCATTGCGTTCTCCCCAGGCTCATCAGCTCTCTACAAAAGGCAAGGCAAAGCTCGCTCGCATGGACTTCAGAACGACGAAGCGTCGTCGGACCTTGAGCTCCACTCGGCGGCGGCTCTTTGTCTGGATCGGCCCGGCGCCATCAATAGGCGTGCCAAGGGCATCCACAACCCGGCCCAGCCTCGGAGCTCCGGAGCAGGGCGAAAAGGAGGAGACAACGAATCGGACTCAAAAAGAAGCAAAAAATGCACCTTTACGCCTTTCTGCGCATGGGTCTTTCTCAGGGCTCGGCAGCTCCTCGCCAATTGGCACATCCACGATGGTCCCCGTGCACTTCACGCTGTCACCTGCGACTGCTACACACGTTTGCTTCCCAAGTTCATGCCATGTGCATATGTGTGCATGAGAAAGGTCTCACACCGTCCATTCTGACAAGTCTTCGTGTCTCGAATTCAGGCTCGGCCTTCGACGATCGCGCGGTCGTCTCCGAACACGACCACACCCACGTTGTCGGTCTCCTTTGCCGTCAGCACTATGCACTGAGACCTCCAACTCCACAAAGGACTAAATGGCTAAACTGCCTCGGAACTCCGGGCACCTCAAATGCATCCCACGACGGTGAACCATGACTGGAAGTATAACTGCCAGATTGCCATTACCGTTGCTCGAATGCTGTCTACACTTAGCAGATTCAACCGTCGAGCGTCCAAGTTCAGGGCCATGCCTTTCAGGCCACTCGAGAACTCGACCATCTCTCCGGCCTTTTATCGGGCACGCGAGGCTTTCGGTGAAGGGAGCTCGCATTCAGGGCTTCTGTCGTTCAATAGATTTCTAGGTGGAGATTCGCTATTGACGGATGGGCAGACGGGGAGAGCTTCACATCATTATCATGACCAAAACCTCTTGAGCGTAATACTGACGATCATAGCCTGACTTCAGCTGTTGGTCTACTACAACCCCAATGACTGTCTCTTTTTTATCATCTGAAAACCAGCCATGTCTTTCGGAGCGCTGCCTTCACTCCCTTGAGGCCGTAGATTCGGGCAATTCCATCGCCAACCGACAGCACACGCCCGACTTCTTGGACGTCCGCCTGATCCTGCCGCAGGACTTGAGAACTAAAGGGCGATCCTGTTGAAGCTTGACGCCCCGAGTTCGCTTCGGCATGCTGAATCAGCCTGGCAACTACAACCATGCTGTAGACAGGAAGTGGTCGCAGATAGAGCTGCGGATGATGCCACACGACTTCACGATCAAAAGCAGCGACTCCTTGAAGTTGGCAATGCGCTCGCTGAGGATCTTGGTGAGCTCGGCGGGACTCACTTTCGCAGCATTCCTGCTTCAGGATCTGATGAGAGAAGCACTGAGGAGCGCAGGGAAAACTTTTTCGGCATGAAACCAATCCCTGAAGATGATGCTGCGTCGGGGCCTAGGAGCATGCCCTACCTCCGCCAAAACGGCCAATTCTGAACCTGAAATTGTGAGGCAACCTTGTAACACACAAGCATGCAATGTGTGGGATGATATCGGCAACACAATTCTCGTGCATATCCGAGCCTGGGCGCCGAAGCATGCAGCGACCTCAGTCACGGCTAGAGTTTTGCTCGGACATGTAAGATGCACACATTCCAAGCACTTTACACGAGAAAGCCTTTGTCACTCCCACGCTTTGTGCGACTATCGCACAATGTCGCACCCTCTGCCAACATATCACGAGCTGTGCATTTTTCTCGGTCAGCCTCAGGGACGCAAATCGCCAATGTTTCTGCGGTCTTCCGTGCTTCGATGCGTTTTCTGGATACTGCATTCCGCGGACCGTTTTGCAAGCGACCCCTTCCGCAGCAAAACACCTGCGGCTGTTCCGAGGCTAAGTTCGACCCTGAGCCTTCGTGCCGCTGAAATGTTTTGAAATTCTGACATCCGGAATCGATTTCTAATCGCTGCCACCGGATCCTACCCTTCAGCTTCCGTGTTTCGAAGAGATGTCACACATCTTCAGATTGTATCGGGAGCACCGAAACGCGGGCACCCGACAAGTCGCTCCAGGCCAACGAAATCATGACCGGTACCAAGGCACGACCGCTGAAGAGTGTCATAACTACACTATTTTGGGGGCTCCTTACTATGATTATAGCATAATGGACTCCCAACTTCGCAAGTGCGGCCGCGCATCCGCACCGCCGAGTTGAGTGCAGCACGCGCCACGGGCAGGCGCGGCAGGAGGCGGCGGAAGGCCATTGTTGCCTCAGCACTTCAAAGACACATGAAGACACTAACAGTGCGCTACTTCAAAGATACTAACAGTGCGTTTCAACTAAAGGTTGTTGCACCTTCGTGGTGTATTGATCGCTCTCGGGCCCAACTTCGATTCAAGACTATGAACAATAGTGCGTTCAAAACCTATGGAAGCACGACCTCGCCTGCAGCAACCTACTGTTCCCAAACAAATCCCGCACAATTGCATCATAGAGTAGTGCAGCGATCTCGTTCCCCGGCAAGGAACGAGTAACTTGATGCTGATGCTCTGCCAAAGCACGTGCACACATGCTTGAGGAACCGCGAGTGATCCTGTTTCCGTAGTTGTACAGTACAGTAACCCTGGAAACACAGGACGAGGCACGTCAACAGCAAAGAGGGAGCCGCTTCAGACGGGCTGCGCGCGCCAGCTCGCTCGAGCCCGGCGGAGGCAAACGTGAATGCAGCATCCAGAAACCCTTGCGGCCCTTGCACGGTAGTGCACGGTGTCTCTGTTTTAGATTCTTGAACACACGGACAGCAACGCCTAGCATGTGCGTCTGTGTGGACGAGCTATCGGCACCGGCTTTTTTGCGTTTTTGATGGGTGCATGATGGTACATGCTCTCAGGCTAGCAGCTGGCAGGAAAGCCGTGACGGCTAGAAAACCCTTCAGCCTCTAAGCCATCAGTGCCCATCAGAGTCTTATGTTCGCACCCCGATACGGAAGCCAAGTCGGTCACCAACCCACGCACCCAGCTGGAAGAACCGCGCTGCACCCTTGAACCCTGCAATGGGCAATGCTTGCCGCTGGAAGCTCTGCTTACATCAGCTCGATGTAGGCCATCTCAGACCAGTCGCCCTTTCCTCAGCTCAGCCGGCCAAGTCCACATCTCTGGCAGCTCTCGGCCAATGCGAACATGCTGAGTTGTGAGGCCTGAGGAGATAGCAGCGGTAACGGTCTGGAGTATGTCACAGTATGTCCCAAGGAACAGTTTTTGCAGCTGAGCAGCGATTCATGGTTCGCGTGACCTTGCAGAACCCGTCGCTCTGCTCGGGGTATCGCTCCGGCGCCTAAGTAGGGAACGGCAGGGCTTGCGTCACAAGCCCCAAAGGCTCCAGAGACTTAGGCGGAGTTTACACAGTTCGGCTGGGAACACCACGCAACTCTGTGGCCGTGACAGTGACATTCTCAGTGCTTGTGCCGTTTCACGGTTCCCGGATCGCGAGCGACTAATCTGCGTGACTGCTGGACAGCGTAAAGTTCAAAGTAAAACCCACACCCCCAAGCCCCAAGCTACAACCCGCCCCAAAGTCTAAATTCGAAGAGTGTCCAACTTGAAAAGGTTGTCCACCAGGGTCGGGTCGTAGAGCCACTCGCCGGCCTTCAGGACTTTTGGGATGCTGCAAAGATATGTCAGTAGGTCTGTTTCTGCGAGCATCTTGGAAAGCACTTGGGAGATCCGGCCTCACGTCGGCTCAGATCGTCTCCTCGCTTGGCCAAGAGGATCATGCGGTCCACGAAATGCGTCAGCGCCTTCGGAGCCGAAACGGACTCCGCTCCAGAGGCCAGGTACGGCCATTCACGGGCATTACTTGAATTTGCAGTTCAGCCTATCTCCCCTCTCCTACGGGGGTTCAACAGGTAACACGTCTTCTTGCATGTTGAGACTCTACAGCGCAGACTTGCAGGAATGTTTGTGACAAATTACTCAGCTCTCGTGCAAACCCGACCCCCTGCCGCTGTACTTTTTCAATTCGACGTGGTTTCACTCGGAAGAAAACTTGACAAGATCCCCGTCTTCCCCCAGTGGAGCCTCAGCTTTCGCGCGGGTGGTCTTGATTCTGCCTTGGCGAATGACCTGGGTGGTGAGATTCCTCATGGTGTTCTTTCGATACCTTGGTGGCAGGATGCGGCAGCAGCGCTTGCACTCCGAGCCGAAGCCAATGGAACTTCGACGGCTCACTTTTTACATCCAACCCGAGCAAGCTGCAACTGCTACTGCAGCCAAGTTCACTCATACGAGGCCCCGCTGAGCTTTGGAATCACACGCTGCTGACCCCACCTGGGCAGCATTTTGCGACTGGTGATCTTCGTGGAGCCTACAGCGCAAATGGCAGAGCCGAGGCTCTCAAACATTACAAGGCAAGCAGCTTGGGAAATCCCAACCGGGATGATCTCTGGATTCCGCCGCTGCCCTGGCATGGAGGAGGCCAAGGCCAAGGCAAACACAACTCAACATGCTTCCTCCTTATGAGACAAAGGAGCGAACCGCACGGAAGCAATGGTACAGTAGGACCCGTCATGACTTCCATTCGGCACACCCCGGGGCCGGGCAGAGATCGCCTTCGGCCCATGGTACTGCGGACCGAACTCGGCATCTGGGTCCTGTTCAGCTGTCCAGCGGCCAAAGCTTCGGGGTTCAACTGGCGGGGTTGTAAGGGCAGGCCGGCGCAACGTTCAAAACGACGGCAGTTTGCAAAACCCTTCCACGCTGCGTTTGCAAGCATTGGAGTAACTCAAAAAACTACAGGCCACTGCTTCTGAGACAAGTCTTCTAAAACATGCTCGTTGGTGTGTTTCTCCCCTGCTCGTGTGGTCTCAGAGCTCTGAATCCTTGAAATCTATCTGGGACAAGCTTCGGGTCGAAAGCATGTTTACACTTTCCGCGGGGAGCTTGTCGTATGCCTGCTTGCAACAAGACCTCACTCCTGATGGCGACTGCTGCACGGTTGCGCACCGGTGAAAACAATAATGATGCCGTTGATCCAGTAGAGATCGTGTCAACCATGCTACTGCTGCCGTGCGCTGCATGAGGGACTATTTTCTTCTCGCAACCCTGAGCTCTGCGAAGCATCACCATACTCTCCGAATTTCCAAGTGTGTACGGGTCCTTCTTGATTGGGCCTCCGTACTTCCTCTTGAAGTACATTGTGGTCGGGGATGTCTGTCTTTGGGAGCGCACAGCCCCGATCATCAAGATGCCTGGCACAAACGCACATAGACAGTTTTCGAGTTTCTGGCAGTCTGGGTCCTTGCAATGCAAGGTCTGAGTGTTCTTGTAAGTCTTTTTTCAAAAGGCAGAACGTTCACCCCCGCCAAAGCTCACAGGTCCCAAAATACAAAACAGAAAAGCCTCAGTGTGAGCATCAAGGTTCCATGGGCAACTGCACAAGTATTTGGTGCAAATGCTCGGAGGCCCTGAGGCCTGCAACTCCAAATAGAGGCGTCCACCTGATCACATGCGCTCTTCCGACTACGTCTCTGCATACGAGCCGGACTGCCGATTGTCGAAGCCTTTGCTTAGAATGGAAATGACCCTTACAGAAGCCCAGGCTACCACCATGACTGTGATTCTTGTGGAAGCCCCACTCTCCTGCGTTCAAAAATACCTGTGGCTCTTGCATTCCCCGTCCTGACATGCACAACAGAATTGGAACGCTCTTCTCAATCATTCACTGGCCAAAGAGCAAGGACCGACCAGCAAAGCCCACGATGACCATATTCTAACTTGCAGTCTGCGTTGCACTATGTCTCTGTACGGCTCAAAGTATTTTGTGCACCCATTGTGTTGTGTTTTTTTCTGCCAAGCCAAACCAAACCAAGCAAAGCCATCTTAAAAACATACTTCCAAAACCCTGTAGCCAGCAGAAGACACGGTCTCACAGACCAAATAGAAGACCGTGTGCAAACGGACTGACCCGAACTCTTGTCTAGCACAAGACCATGCTCGTACATGCATATACACATGTGTGTATATATATATATACATACCTACATACATGTTGCGGACATTTAGACATATATGCATATGTATATGCATGCGTATGTGTATATATCTATATATGGTACATGTATGTATATTTATATATATATATATATATATTTCTATATATATATATATATATGTATATATATATATATGTGCGTGTGTATACGGTGCATACAACATGCTATACACATGCACATACACTATGCATTGCATACAAGATATCATACAGCAGGCAGGCAGACAGCCAGACCGATGGACGGACCAACGGACGGACGGACGGATAAGCAGACAGACGGACAGACAGACACAGATACATACACTAACGAAGGCACTTACACAGACACACACAAACACCTGCAGATGCGCATGCGCAAACATATACCTTTACGTATGCATGCACAGACATATACGCATTCACATGCATACACCTAGGCATGCGTATAGACATATAGTACATTTTCATGTACGTGTATGTAAGAACACATATACGTACGCATGTGTGTGTAGGCATATGTGTTTATATGTGTCTTATTGGGTGTACACAAGTCTAAATGTGATATTATAAACCCCTATTTGCAGAATTATGTGTGCGGTAGATTACAACATGCCTGCAACTACCTTTCAAGCCAGGCACCCATTGGCTCCCTGCGCCCTCAGCGGTGCGGCTGCGGACCGGGCAGGGGTCGAAGCGGGCGGGGCGCGCAGGGCACTGGGGGCGAGGAATGCCTCGGACAAAGACAACAGACTGTGTTTTCTATTGAATACCAGGTAGCTCAGTAAGAAAAGTCCAAGTCCTTGCGGAGGAGTCTTCTCGATAAAAAACAAAGCGTTGGTGGGAGCCTACCCGACAAAACAAGACTCAAGAACTCGCAGTTCTCCCCTCGCAGATCTGAGCGTTGCTCATTTTCCGAAATTCAGGAATTTCAGGCTTTCGGCCGCAGCCGACCTCCGCTGTGCCCAGCGCCAGGAGCGCGCAGCCAAGGCGTTTCAGCGCCATGGCGAGTCCTTTTCTGGGGCCCTATGAGCCTGGCAAGCGAAACGGTGATCTGAAGGAGCTAAGATGGGCAAAGCCAGGGCAAAGTACTGACGAGCATCGTCCACTCTCGGTCTCAGTCAGCCTCTTTTTCCATGCGTCTGGATGGACGTGTGTCGGAGGCATGCCCAGGACATGCGAATTGCCGGGTGCCACCACGAACCCCTGGAACTCCCGCGACTGGTTTCGTCACGGAGCATCTCAGTGGCCTGCTGCCTCTAGCTCTCCCAGGACAACCTGGCATTACGGAGCGGCTTGCAATCTCATCCCCAGAGCAGCGTCATGGCGTCTTGCACCATACCCCGAGAGACGGCAGAACATCCCTTTCCATTTCGAGGCTTCAGGACTCTCGGCAGGTAACAGGCCAGGATGTCGTCGATTCTGGCCTTGGCGTCTCGGAGCTGCAGTCCATGCGTCCTGTCAAGACTTCATAGGGCGATGCGAGAAGCCCGCGACTACCAACAAAAATCGGAGCCAAGGTGAAAGCCTTCGGGCAGTCAGAAGCCAGGGCCGGCCTCGGAAAGTCCTCCTCGACGACAAGGCTGGTCCCTTCTCGTCGGAACCCAGCAGCCTGTGAGCTTGCGGATCACGAGGCAGGCGTTCTTTTCTGCCTTTATTTTACACTCTGCTCCCAGCAACTGATTCCGCTTTCGCAGGGTGCTCCAGCTTGATGCATTGGTATGACGCGGGGCTCATTCCTAACGCAGAAACTCAGTCGGAGCCTCCAGAACAGCCACTGCTCCTTCCAAGCTTTCGACGCTTGTCCTCAAACCGCCAGCATAGTTGCAAATTATCCATGCCAGTTGCTATGGCCTAGGGACCGCAGGGACTTTTGCCACGTGCCGGCATGATTTGGCTCTACAAGAGAGTGCCACCCAGCCAGAGCCACGTGTCTTGACAATGCCAAGCGGGCCGCACCTAAACCTCCCAGCGGCGCAGTTGATGCGATGGTATTTGGGTTCCTGGCGGCGAGCACAGGGTCGTCTATTCACTCACTCAGATGCATAGTTTTCTAGCTCTCCTCTGCAGCACTTCTCCACTTCTTCAAGCACTTCATACTCAAGACATGCGTGCAGGACGAAAGCCCTGCGACTCCGGGAACTCCTTTATCACAACAGCTACCAACAAGTCTTTGTATGAGTGTGGCGCCTGTGGGTCAGTCACCAAGTGGCCAACGCAGCCACTTACAATCCTGCAGTTGGGCGACGCAGGCAAGGGAGGTTGGGCACTGACACCATAAAGCAGGTGACGAATGTTTGTGGGATGCGTTCCTACGTCCTACATGCAACAATTCATACACCGGCTTGGGTCCATCTGCCGGCTTTGTCATTTCCCAGATGAGCTCTGGAAATCTGCATATGGCTCTTGCTGATTTTTCAATCAGCAATGTTGAAGAAACACATCATAAGAAAAGTACACGATTTGTGGAAACCTTTCGACTAGAAGAGGTGGACCTCGTCAGTAGCCCTCATCTTTCCAGATAATTACTAGAATCCGGCAATGTCCGGCACAGGCCTTAGTCCAGCAGCCAATGCTGCGGGGTCCGCCTAGCACAACAAGCGGAAGATGAGTTCAAGCCACCCTCTTAAGACTTCTTGAGGTTCTCTTGTTCACCCCGAGGTCCAACCCCCGGTCTACACGGAAATCTCAAGATGGGCCGTTCGTGGGTCCGATGTCTGCCGCACAGCCAGTCATCCAGACACGAACACTTCGTTTAAATGGGTGCCTCGCGGTAGCGTTTCCGGAGCTCTTTCAGAGCTTGGACGACGGGGTCGGGGGCCTGCACCGGGCCGGCCAAACACAAGCTTGTCATCGACAAGTCTGAGTCACGAAACAGCTTCGCGATTTTGAGGGTGACCACGGGGTTGTGAGGCATCATACATACTGTGCAGGACCGAAGTCAGACCGACAAGCTGCTGCCTGACCAGCAAATCTCAAAGCTCTTCTACATGACAACTACATGCGATCCCAGAGCAGGCCGTCTGCCTTGCCGTCCACGGCTACTCTGGGACTTGCTTCCGCCGGGGGCCTGGCCAGAAGAACAGCACTTTTCAACCGAGCAGCTGCAAACCTCAGCCCACTTTTGTGAAAAAGACTCCGAGATTCCTGAAAGCTAAAATCGATCGCTGCAAACCCTACTGGCACCGTTTCGGGTTAATCTGAATCCCCAACACGATCCCATTGCCCCGAATGTCTGGCGGCACGGCGTTGCAGAAGGTGCTGGTGGCTCTGCCACCGCTGGAGGCACTGCCACCGGTGGAACTGCAGGCCTTTCTGGTGCGAACGGTCAGAAGCACCCTTAAGGCTTGGATTTTCATGTCGTGTTGGTTCGAGGGAATAGTATGTATGCGTGCATCTACAAGTACATATTACTTCCATAGACTTGGGTTTAAATAGCGACCCGGGGGGCCAATTAAAAAATTATTTATATTTTAAGGGTTTTATAGTACTTGCAACTGCAGGACTCTTGCATCACATGACAGTGATTAGCAACACGCACCTTTTAGGACTGCATGGCTCTTGCTTCAAGTCACATGACAGTGATTAGCAACACGCACCTTTTGGACTGCAT